TCCGAGGAGTGGCTGGTGGGTTTGAACCACCAGCCATCTGGTTAGCAGGCAAGTGTCTTAGCCACTATGCTACCAGAGCTCCCAAGTGAGTTCTAGCCTATTTCAAAAGATCATCCACAAACAGAAAACCAACTGTTGCCCAAGCCACACCTTAAATACAATGTAGACAGGACTTTATTTGCCAGCCAGCAGTTGACAGCTGCTGATACGTGTGGCTGTGGTTGTTAGATGCCATCACTGATGTCAACTCATGGTGCCCTCATGTGCGTCAGAGCAGAATTGCGGCCCGTACAGTTTCCAAGGGCTGATTTCTCAGAAGTAGACTGTCAGGTCTTTCTTCCAAGGCACCTCTGAGTGGACTTAGACATCCAAGCATATTCATTGTCTGCGCCACCCAAGGACTCCCACCAAAAGGTCGGCAGTTTGAACCAACCCATCGGCTCCATAGAAGAAAGGCTTGGTGATCTGCTCCTGTAAAGATCATGGCCTGGGAAACCCCGTGGGGCAGTTCTCCTCTGTCAGACAGTGCCACTGTGAGTCAAAATCAACTTGACAGCACCTGTCTCAGTTATCTGTTCTTGTTGGGTGTCGCCAAGTCGGTTCTGACTCGTTTGACCCGACGTGCAGCAGAAGGAAACACGGCCCGGTTCTGCACCAGCCTCACGGTCCTCGCCATGCTTGAGCCCATCGCTGCAGTCGCTGTGTCATCCATCTCACTGAGGGTCCTCTTTTCCACTGACCCTCCACTTTGCCAACCATGATGTCCTTCTCCGGGGACTGCTCCCTCCTGATCACATGACCAAAGCTCAAGAGATGAAGGCTCACCATCCTCGCTTACAAGGAGCATTCTGGCTGTCCATGGTATATTCAACATTCTTCACCAACACCGTAATTCCAAGGCACCAATTCTTCTTCTGTCTCCCTTATTCACTGTCCAATTGCCCAGCCCTCACATGCATAGGAGCTCTGGTAGCATAGTGCCTAAGGCACTTGACTGCTAACCAGAAGGCTGGCGGTTCAAACCCACCAGCCACTCCTCAGAAGGAAAGTTGGGCAA